AACAAGGAGATGACTGTCACGTCCACCAGAAGGCAAGTGGATAAAGACGACGTGGTACATACAACACACGGAACACTGCGGGCTCAGTCACTTCAGGCGCGTCTAACTCTGCAACCCCATGGACTGCAGCCCACCAGGCTCCTCTGTCCATGGGATTCTCCAGGCAAGAATACTGGAGTGGGCTGCGGCTTCCTTCTCCAGGGGACTTTCCCAACCCAGGGATTGAACCTGCATTGGCATAGCACAGTGGAATACTACTCAGCCATAAAAAGAATGAAATAATGCCATTGGCAGTAACATAGATGGACTTAAGAGATTATCACATCAAGTGAAGTCCGAGAAAGACAAGTATCATATTGTATCACTCCCATGTGGAATCTAAAACATGACACAAACTTATCTATGAAACAAACAGACTCACAGACAAAAAGAACAGCCCTGCAGGTGCCAAGGGGCAGCGGGAGGCTGGGCCAGGAGCCTAGGGTCCGCAGGCACTGGCAGAGGTGGGCAGACAAGGAGGCCCAGCTCTGTGTGCGGCACGAGGGGCCCCAGTCACAGTCCTGTGGCAAACCAGACGGGCAGGACGAGGAGGAGGGCACGTGCGTGCGGAACTGAACCATGCGCTGTAAAGCAGAAACTAATGCACTGCCAATCAACCACACTCGGTAAGGTTTAAAAATAAACAAACGCGCAGTCTACTCTGTCAACACCCCAATAAAGCCGCTTAAAAAACCCTACACACACAGTAAGAACAACTGCACCCGTAAGACGGGCAAGACTGAAAACACGGCGGACGACGCCAAGTGCTGGCGAGCACGCAGCACTCTGAGGCCTCCACACGACTGGCGGGCCGCACAGACGTGAACACACGCTTCCATAGATCCTTCCAGTCCTACGAACCACCAGGAGAAACAGAAGCACAGGCCCCTGCACACAGCACGCCCAGAACAGCCCCACCCTGGCCACAGCCCAAGTGTCAAGACCTCGCCGTGGAGCAGCTACGCTGTGTGCGGTGAGTCCAGGGGCAAGGGGGGCCCGGGGCAGGGGCCGCCCTCAGGGTCCCTGCCCTCAGGGTCCCAGGCCCGGAATCCTCTTAGCCCCGCAAGCCCATGGTTTGAAGCCCCCAGGGGCTGACCACCAAGCGCCCAGTGCTCACAAAGCAGGAGACAGGAACAGTGGAAGAGGGCGCTTCTGCTGAGAAAACAAGCTGGGCTCCCAGCGCGCTGTCCTTACAAACCAGCAACCCCTCACCCGCACTCGCTAACCACCAGATGTCCACTGCCAGACCAGTGACATTCCTTAAGGCAAATACCACTGGTATGAAGTCACTTTACTGAGCAAATTCTCAAGGCCAAGAAGTTCACAGGCTCGCTTGGCAGTTTTATGAAGCGCGTGTGGGCTTCATGCCCACAGAATTCCTGTCTGATTCTTCCAGGTTAAAAGCAAGGAGCCTCCTTCCCCCCAAGCACATGGGAGGTCACAGGAGCCCCACTATCCCGTCAACTGTCAGCGGGGCCCATGAAGACACGGGGGCCCACAGACCGTGCTGAGCACAGGTGGGCCTCCCCACCCCCAAAGGCCACGCGGGCGGAGGGCCAGCAGGTTGACAGGTGCCAGCTCAGCCTGCCTGACACCACCCGCATGGCGCTGCCCAGAGCGGCAGGGTGGGGGCAGCAACACCTCAGTCGGGGATCCCAGAGGGCCTCTCCCCACCCCAGCCGTCCGGGACCCTGGTGAGGACCTTTCCCCGCCCCAGCCACCCAGGGACCCCGGTGAGGACCTCTTCCCACCCCAGCCGCCCAGGGACTGTGCCCAGGACCCAGCCTCTCCGGCCAGCCCCTCTGTGAGGCCACCAATGCCCCACACCTCGGCCCCCGAGAACCCGAGGTCAAGGCACTTCTGTCAATGGAAACAGGCTTTGCAGACAAAAGGAACTCTTCTTAGCGAGACCAGAGCAGAGGGCTGGGCTGCTGGCCCGCTCAGCGCAGGCGCCTCGGCCCCGGGTGGCAGACCGGCGCTGGCTCCAGGGCGACAGCAGCTCTGGGGCGTCCCCCCGCCGTGTGGGTCACTGTCTGCACTGTCATCTCCCCAGGGAGGGGGAGCCGTGGCCTGTAGACCCCTCACCTCCATGCACGTCATGCTGGCCAGACCCGTCCTCCTGCCTGTCAAGCCGGAGACCTGTCTGGAAGGGGCTATCCGCCCAGCTCATGAGGAGGGTTAAGAAGCTACAAGATGGGCAGATGGACCAACTCCAGGATCCGTGGTTCGAGCACCACCCTTGGAATAGAAAGACCTGTGAAGCATCTACATCACGAGCCCCTCTGGGAGGACCAGGAAGCGGCCGGGGCAGGCCTTCAAAGCAGCAGCTGGCAGGCCGCAAACCCAGCACGGGGGTGCCGGGGAATTGTGGCCACGGGCCCTGCTCCCCGCTCCCCCATGATGCCAGCCTGAGGCCCCGTGGGTCAAGATGGTGACCTGTGCCGACCAGGACTGAGAAGCGGACAGGCCCAGCTGCAAAGACGTCATGCGCTGTGGACCGACACAGCAGGGTGGCAGGGACAGAGAGGGGACGCGCTGGGGACAGCCCGAGCCAGGCGCCCCCGGCCCTGCTGCGGGGCCCCCGCCCCGGGACCCTCAGCCCTCCTGGCGGGAGCTCAGGGCCCGTGCTGTGGGAAGCGACCGCACAGGCACCCGTGGGCCCCTGGACGGCACTTCCAGGAGCACAGCGGCTCCTCGGGCTCCCGGCGGGGGTGGGCGGGGCAGTACTTTTCCACAGGCTCCTGCCACCCACCCCGAGAGGACAGAGGGGTCCTTCCTTTAAGAAGGCGGGGCCTGGCAGCTCCCCGGCTTCCCACGAGAACCAGAGGCCCAGCGGGTAAAGAAGCGTTTTGATGAGCAAAACCAGGATGTGGTCTGGAGGAGGACGACCCTAGAGACCAGCCCTGAGCAGGAGACACCCCCTCCCCAGCGCCACCGGGGGCCAAGAGGAAGCTGCAGAGCGCGGCCCCACAGGGACCCTGCGATTGGCAGCTGGGAGGGAAATGCCAGCTTATCTCCGCTTTTGTTTTCCAAATTTCTTTCAATCAACAAGCACTTAAATAACAAAAAAAAAGATCACTTTTTAAAAAATCGCCTGAATTTAAGAATCATGATTGGTCTTAGGTAGAAAATTTAAACTGTGCCATACTTAGCGCCCTGCCACTAAAGAACCTGCCTGCCAATACAGGAAATGTAAGAAATGCGGGTTTGAACCCTGGATGGGAAAGATCCCCTGGAGGAGGGCATGGCAACCCACTCCAGTATTCTTGCCTGGAGAATCCCATGGACAGAGAAGACTGGCGGTCTACAGCCCATGGGGTCCAAAGAGTCACACAACTGAAGTGATTTAGCATGCATGTGTATTTATCACAAACCCAGGCTGTTCTGTGGGTCCTGACAGTGACGAGCAGCCAGCAAGCAGAGACCACTAACAGCTGGAAATTTTAACAAAATCACGTGTCACCAGGGTGACAGTATGGTGTTCATTTCTAGAGAAAGCAGGGACGTGTCCTGGAACAGGCCAGAGAAATCCACGTGCCCTGAGGCTCTGCAGGGATTCAGGGCCAGACCCTGAATGGGAGCTGGAACAGCTCTAAAAACCCAGTCTCCATCTGGGGTCTGGACACCAAGGAGCGCTGACAAAACTGGGGTCCAGCGGCAGGGAAGGCGAGGATGACAAGAGCGGGCCCTGGGGACACGGGCCTAGCTGCAAGCCCAGGCGGGAGCAGACGCAGGCCAGCGACATGGCCTGCCAGCTGAGCGCAGCCTGTGGTCACCAGGCGCCCTGGCCAGGTGGGCACCAGGGAGAAGGTGGGGAAGGGGCACCCGACGGCGGGGTGGCTTTCACCTTGACTCAGGGCAGGACAGCTGAGACGACCCTGACCCAGGGCCCCTCCCTCCACACCTGTACCTGCCCACCCACTGTGGAGGGCGGGCACGGGTGTGCCTCCCCAGGACACACAGCTGCTCAGAGGACAGCGTCCTGAGGTCCTGACAGTCCTGCATCAGGCCTGCAGGCCAGGAGCTGGCCTCCGCGCTGCCCCACCCCAGCCCCGCACAGGGCGTCCCCGCCCCCACTGCACATGCAGAGCGGCTGTGTATACCCCGACTCCCAGCCCCCCACACGCATCCCCTCCCCACTGCACATGCAGGGCGGCTGCGTGTGCCCCAACTCCCAGCCTTGCACATGGCCCAGGCTTGAAACAAAGACAGAGCTGGAGACACGGCTCCCCAGAGCGAGCGCCCAGCAACCACACCCATCAGGTCCGGCTTCCATCGCGTTCTCCTAGAAAGACCAGACTAGGACGCAGTCAAGTGGCTGATTGAGGGCAGATCCTCACAACTAAGTCTGCTCACGGCCCCAAACGACCCGACACGATGCGGGGCGGCGCCGACAGTGCTGCCCTCCCTGTGGTCCCTGGGTGCTCAAGCGGGTGACCGAGGGCAGGAGGCTGCTCAGGCCCGCCCCGCCGGCACCCTCACCCGCCATGCGGGCGAGGGAGAGGCGTGTCTATCAACTGTCACTTCCTGTAGAATGACTCCTCAGGACCTGTGACCTGATGCCCTCTGATCAACGACACGCTGGATCAGAGCCAGCTCGGCATCGACGAAAAGTGACGCTCAGAGCCTGGTGACAGCAGCAGCCGCTTTAGACGGAAACACATTTCTGAGCGGATTCGGAACACGTTTTGATGTAACCTCTGAACACACACAGAACCCCAGGCCAGGCCCCCTCTTCCATGTGAGGGGCTCAAGGCCCAGCTCCACGCAGCCTCATCACCCGGCACCCCACAGGGCCACTGAGACCCCGTCACACCTGGCGCCCCGCCAGCACCCCGAGGTTTGGAGGCTGAGAAAGGGCAGCCGCGCGGCTCTGACCTAGTTCCCTGCAGCTCTGATCTGCCCCACAGTTGTCTAGAAGGCACGGTGCACGTCCACGTGGACTGCCCACCACCCGACACCAGCCGCATGCCCACCTTACCCACCTCAGCAGGGGCCATCCCGGCGCCCGGTGGGGCTGCAGGTGCTGGGGGCGTCTGTGCAGCTGACACCTTCAGGTTTTTGCTCTTTTTCTCTGCCACTCTGCCCTCTTTTCTCTTCTGTTTTGCCATCTTGCAACAGACAAACTGTAAAGACACAGGAAATAAAAATTCTCATTAACAGAGAAGGCAGAGTCTTATGAAATACAGAGATAGTTCAGGAAGTATGGGAAATATACAGTCAATGTGACAAAGTCAAACCACCTCTTTTCATCACCTGTGGACAACTTACAGTGTGGTGGATTCCAGTTTTTCCTGAGGGTTTTATTTAACACAGCTACCATCACAACATGAATACAGACTTTTAAGAGTAAAAGAAGGGACTTCCCTGGTGGTCCAGTGGTTGAGACGCCATGCGTCCACGGTGGGGGCACAGGTTCGATCCCTGCTAGGGGAACTAAGAGCCCTCAAGCCATGCAGTGCCGCCCGCACTCCCAAAAGAGGACAAGAAATATCCTTTTTAGTGACAGTATCCAGATTTTCGAAAAACTGTGAACAGTGGTCTATTTGCTAACTAATGGCATTGGAGTTACTCTCACTTTCTACTATCAAGGATTAACCCACACTTCCCCACCAATGAGGGAAGCTGCTGCCCCACAGGCTGGCGGTGACCGTCGAGCAGTCCCTCGGGCCTCAGTCACCCACGGCTGGAGGTGGCCGGGTGACTCAGGGGGGCCTCCACGGGGGTGGAAGCAGCCCCACCAGGCCTCTGTGGAGGACTGACGTGGGATCAAGAAGGTCTAGCTCCGTCTCACTGAGCACAGGGCTACCTCGACCTCCTCATACGGACAGAAGGACGCCCGCGGACTCCAGAACCAGCTTCCCTTGTGGGACCAGGTGCTGAGGGAGGCAAGGAAGACCGGGGAGGTGCCGGAGCCTGAGGGAGTGGGGCAGGCGCTGGGAGTGCCTCCCACCTGGGGGGCGCCGGCCGCGGGGACCTCTGGGGGACGGGGTCTGGAAGGCCGTCTGCAGGGTCCAGCCCACCCCGGGGGGGACACAAAGAATGACCCGCTCCTCCCACCCCCACCCGACCTGCCGCCCCCTGCGGGTGGCGCCCAACGGGCTGGAAACAGGACAGTCTCCGAGTCTCAGCAGCGACGCCGTGAGCATCCTGCAGGGCAGGGTACAAGGCGCTGGGGCGGAGGCCTCGGGCAGCTGGTGCAAACCACACACACACAGACACACACGCTCCTCCCCACACGTTCACCAAGCAGGGATGCGTGTGTACACACTCACACGCTCCTCCCCACACGTTCAAGCAGGGATGCGTGTGTACACACACACAATCACACGCTCCTCCCCACACGTTCAAGCAGGGATGCGTGTGTACACACACACACACGCTCCTTCCCACACGTTCAAGCAGGGATGCGTGTGTACACACACACACACGCTCCTCCCCACACGTTCAAGCAGGGATGAGTGTGTACACACACACACTCACACGCTCCTCCTCACGTGTTCACCAAGCAGGGATGCGTGTGTACACACACACACACACTCACACTCACATGCTCCTCCTCACACGTTGATCAAGCAGGGAAGCGTGTGTACACACACACACTCACGCTCCTCCTCACATGTCGATCAAGCAGGGATGCGTGTGTACACACACACACATGCTCCTCCCCACACGTTCAAGCAGGGATGAGTGTGTACACACACACACACACTCACACGCTCCTCCTCACACGTTCACCAAGCAGGGATGCATGTGTACACACACACACACACTCACACGTTCCTCCCCACACGTTCAAGCAGGGATGAGTGTGTACACACACACACACACTCACATGCTCCTCCTCACGTTCACCAAGCAGGGATGCGTGTGTACACACACACACACTCACACGCTCCTCCTCACACGTTGATCAAGCAGGGAAGCGTGTGTACATACACACACACACACACACGCTCCTCACACGTTCACCAAGCAAGGATGCATGTGTACACACATACACATTCACACTCACACGCTCCTCCCCACATGTTCATCAAGCAGGGATGTGCGTGTACATACACACACACACACGCTCCTCCTCACACGTTCACCAAGCAGGGATGCGTGTGTACACACTCATACCCACACGCTCCTCCCCACACGTTCAAGCAGGGATGCGTGTGTACACACACACACACACACACGCCCCTCCCCACACGTTCATCAAGCAGGGATGCGTGTGTACACACACACACACAAACACACACACACACACACGCCCCACCCCACACGTTCATCAAGCAGGGATGCGTGTGTACACACACACACACAAACACACACACACGCCCCTCCCCACACGTTCATCAAGCAGGGATGCGTGTGTACACACACACACACTCACACGCTCCTCCCCACACGTTCATCAAGCAGGGATGCGTGTGTACACACACACACACTCACGCTCCTCACCACACGTTCAAGCAGGGATGCGTGTGTACACACACACACACACACACACACACGCTCCTCCCCACACGTTCATCAAGCAGGGATGCGTGTGTACACACACACACACACACACACACACGCTCCTCCCCACACGTTCATCAAGCAGGGATGCGTGTGTACACACACACACGCTCCTCCCCACACGTTCAAGCAGGGATGAGTGTGTACACACACACACTCACACGCTCCTCCTCACATGTTCACCAAGCAGGGATGCGTGTGTACACACACACACACACTCACACTCACATGCTCCTCCTCACACGTTGATCAAGCAGGGATGCGTGTGTACACACACACACACTCACACGCTCCTCCTCACATGTCGATCAAGCAGGGATGCGTGTGTACACACACACACATGCTCCTCCCCACACGTTCAAGCAGGGATGAGTGTGTACACACACACACACACTCACACGCTCCTCCTCACACGTTCACCAAGCAGGGATGCATGTGTACACACACACACACACTCACACGTTCCTCCCCACACGTTCAAGCAGGGATGAGTGTGTACACACACACACACACTCACATGCTCCTCCTCACACGTTCACCAAGCAGGGATGCGTGTGTACACACACACACACTCACACTCACACGCTCCTCCTCACACGTTGATCAAGCAGGGAAGCGTGTGTACATACACACACACACACACACGCTCCTCACACGTTCACCAAGCAAGGATGCATGTGTACACACATACACATTCACACTCACACGCTCCTCCCCACATGTTCATCAAGCAGGGATGTGCGTGTACATACACACACACACACGCTCCTCCTCACACGTTCACCAAGCAGGGATGCGTGTGTACACACTCATACCCACACGCTCCTCCCCACACGTTCAAGCAGGGATGCGTGTGTACACACACACACACACACACGCCCCTCCCCACACGTTCATCAAGCAGGGATGCGTGTGTACACACACACACACAAACACACACACACACACACGCCCCACCCCACACGTTCATCAAGCAGGGATGCGTGTGTACACACACACACACAAACACACACACACGCCCCTCCCCACACGTTCATCAAGCAGGGATGCGTGTGTACACACACACACACTCACGCTCCTCACCACACGTTCAAGCAGGGATGCGTGTGTACACACACACACACACACACACACACGCTCCTCCCCACACGTTCATCAAGCAGGGATGCGTGTGTACACACACACACACTCACACGCTCCTCCCCACACGTTCATCAAGCAGGGATGCGTGTGTACACACACACACACACACACGCTCCTCCTCACACGTTCACCAAGCAGGGATGCGTGTGTACATACACACACACACACACACACACATGCTCCTCCTCACACGTTGATCAAGCAGGGATGCGTGTGTAGACACACACACACACACACTCACACACTCCTCCCCACATGTTGATCAAGCAGGGATGCATGTGTACACAGACACACACACACACGCTCCTCCTCACACGTTCATCAAGCAGGGATGAGTGTGCACACACACACACATGCACACACCTCCTCACACGTTGATCAAACAGGGGATGAGTAGGTCAGCAGAAACCAGGAGAGGGAATCCCTCCCAATAACTGAAACCCATTAGCAGTGTTATAGATGCAGGTGGGACAGGACGCTAGGATGGTCTACAGTTACACGTATAAAACAACAACAGAGAAAGCTACACACGGACTTACAGCAAACGTCTAATGGATACAACCAAACCTTCACCTTTATACCTAGGGTGGGACTGCAAGGGACTCTCCCAGACCCTGCAGCTCAGTTTTATTTTGCTTTTTATCAAGGTTTTACACTTGAAAAAAAATTTTTTTAAATACTAGTCCTTTAAAACTCTATTTACAAGTCCTACTAGTATCAACTTTTATTCTAACAAATTACAAGAACGTATTTTGTATTATTTATCCTAAACTCATCCCGCTGGCTTCATTTATATGTGTATCTTTATATATGCATATAGGTTACTATATAGACATAAGCACGTAACATGTACATTTTACACCCACACACAGCACATACACCACATCTCTATAATAGAGGTGCTTTCATTTCGGACATCTATCTGCACGGGAACGGACACAAACCCAATGCCTTCTTCCTCAGACACCAGAATACACTTTGGACTCCCGCACGGAGGCTCAGACACGTAACTCACTCATTCCACAAGTGTTTATTGAGGGCCGGTTCTGTGCCAGGCACTGCTGGAGGCCAAACACAGAGCAAAGAGCAAGGGAAGTAAGAGCCTTGACCTGTGAAGCTTCCCTTCGAGTGTGAAGTCCAGGCTCATTTGAGTGAACAGGTCAACGCTTTTACAGAGACAAATGCTGCCAAGAGAGCACAGCGGGTGGGGTGAGCAGGTGCCAGGAAGTGCAGCAGACACGGACGGCGGCAGGGGCTTCTGAGGGGCCACGTGGACAGAGGGGGCGTGAGCAATGTGCCGAGGCCGCGGGCCAAGTGCCGCCGTCCGAGGGGCTATCTGCTTGCCCTGCCCTGCCCTCGGGGCCCCTCCCAAGGCGTCAGTCTCACTGAGGACTCAGTGCAACGCAGGTGAACAGACGCCACCACGACGTCAGCAGGGAGGACGTGCCCAGGTCAC